ATGGCAGGTGTTTGCTGGGCCGCGCTAATGAACCTCCAAAATGGAATGTGAATTCTGCCGCCCTCTTACGTTGTTGCGTAGTTCGGGACAAGCTGTCGTATACCGTGTGTTTGTGTTGTATTTAGGTATATTTCTGATGTTCGCCTTTTAGGGGCGAGGGCGTTGACGTTGAAGGGTTAAGAAACGGAGGATGCGATCTTTGCATCAGAACTTTTTTTTGCCTGAGAGGTTGGTGGAGAATGGCGTAGTACGTGCATCTTTGTAGTTACTGGGGTATTTGGCTATATGACGTTTGCCGTGACAGTTTTCAGGTGGGTGGTTACGGAATTCGAAAAGTCAGTTTCTTAGGCGAAACATGTTTTTGTGGCAATTTTTCATTACGCTTTTCCTTTGCAAAACGCGGAACCTTTGGACGCGTTCAAAAATCCATAATTGTCCTAGGTTGATGAGTGTTTGCCGTTGCGGACTTTGTCCGTGTGCGTCAGTGCTTGGCGTGTTGGGCGACCGAATGCCACTCGTGGCTAGGGACGATGTGCTATCGTCACCTGGTCGTTGTGGGCCACGGAAAGGACAGGGCTTCTGTTAGAGTTTTCCGACGGCAGAGTATTGGATTCGTTAGACTTATAGCCACTGCTTCAGCTGTTGTCAGCAATCGTTGGCGTAAGCCTTCGGAGAAGTTTTTTGTGTCTGATAGATGGCCTGAAAGTCTTCAGTGGTATGGACTCGGTGATTCGTATCGACAAGGTGTGCGAGAATAGAGGTCGAGATCGATTTAGTTTCACCTTAACGTAACCTGATTGGTACGTGTTCACGTACTCTCTTTTCCATGCGCCTCGTTGTTCGGCCAATGTGTCCTGCTGTACAGAGCAAGTGAAGGAGGAGACGCACATGGATGTGGTCTTCAACGGGAGTCGGTCTTTACCTCCCAATCGTAGAAGGGGAGATTTTTGTGCACGTTCAAATTTTCATTGTTTTGCAAAGTTAAAGGCATGGTGACGAATTGCCGTAAAACATATTTTGCCTAATAAACTGACTTTTCAAGTTAACCATGGGGATGTTACAGAATTGTGCAAAACATTTTTGAGTACTCATATTTCGAATGTGCAGTTTTTGTAAGCAGTCTGAATTAGTGACTTGCTTTGGATTGATGCTGTACGATAATTACTAACGAGTTCACGTTTATATGACCGACCCTCCCAACTCTTCTGCCATTTGGTCTTTGCGTACACACTCATGTTTTCTCACCCTTTTTGTCCTTCAGGTCTTCGTGTCTCCTGTATGCGTCACCGCTATGACTTTTACAAACCCGTCATGTCCTCCGTCTTCCCTGAGGTTGATGGTCAGTTGAGCATCAACTGTTACAAGGAGGCCCTGCTCTCCTGCTATGCCCAGTATAGTTCCAAGGTAGAAAAGGCAACCGGTACATTCTTGCGCTAGTTTGTTTGTTTGCTCTTTTAAATACTCTTCTCTACGTTTCGTCTGGCCACGCGTTGCTGGTACCAACTCACATACTCCCGGAGCTCGTCACCGCCTTGCTAATT